CCCTCCTCCTCTCCCCTCTCCTCTCTGCCCCAGCCACCCCCCTCTCTCTCTCCCCGTAGGCGGACCCGATGCTGCCCGCGGCGCGGCGCACGCAGCGAAAGATCCCGTCGGTGCGGGGAGAGGGCTGCGGACGCGCCACGCAGCGAGGCCGCGCCAGTCCACACCCCTGCCCGCTCTCAGGTGCCGTACAAGGTCCTCGACGCCCCCGCCCTCCAGGACGACTTTTACCTCCACCTGGTCGACTGGTCGTCGACCAACGTGCTCGCCGTCGGGCTCGGCGCGTGCGTCTACCTGTGGAGCGCGTGCACGAGCAAGGCGAGGCGAGAGCTCGGCCAGCTTTAGGGCGGGCCGTCTCGACCGCCCTCCCTCCCCTCCCCCCAGGTGACCAAGCTGTGCGACCTCGGGCAAGAGACAGTCACGTCGGTCTGCTGGGCGCAGAGAGGCGCGCCTCGCCGCGGCCACGGGCGGGAGGCCAGGGGCGGGAGGCGTGGGGAGGCGCCGCGCTGACACGGCTCGGCCGCGCGGGCAGGCACGCACCTCGCCGTGGGCACGAGCGTGGGCGAGGTGCAGGTCTGGGACGCGGCCAAGGCTTCGCTGCTCCGGACGATGGGTGGGCACCTCGGCCGTGTCGGCACTCTGTCGTGGAGCGGTCCCTCCCTGTCCTCGGGCTCGCGAGACCGGACCATCTGCATGCGCGACGTGCGCAGCGCGCCGCCCTTCACCTCGCAGCTGGTGCGCGCGGGCAGGCGGCGGTCCCCCTCCCCCCCGGCCTGAGACCTTGAGCCGCCCTGCCCGCCCACCGCCTTGTGCAGGTCGGCCACAAGCAGGAGGTCTGCGGGCTGCGGTGGGCACACGACGGGTCGCAGCTCGCGTCGGGGGGGAACGACAACAAGCTCTTCATCTGGTGCACGCCACGCACCTCTCGGCCCCTCCCGCCGAGGCCGCCCTCTCCACCCCTCGCCTCTTCACGCCCCACGCGCAGGTCGCCGCACGGCACCTCCCCGCTGCTCCGCTTCTCCGACCACACCGCCGCAGTCAAGGCGCTTGCGTGGTCGCCGCACCAGAACGGGCTCCTCGCCTCGGGCGGGGGCACCGCCGACCGCTGCATCCGCTTCTGGAACACCCAGACCGCCACCGCCCTCTCGGCGCTCGACACGGGCTCGCAGGCGCACACGCAGCCCGCGCGCCTCGGCGGCTGCACCTCTCGGCCGCACCTCGGCGGCTGCACCTCGGCGGCTGCACCTCGGCGGCTGCACCTCTCGGCCCTGCGCCTCTCTCAGGTGTGCAACCTCTGCTGGTCGTGCACTGTCAACGAGCTCGTCTCGTCGCACGGCTACTCGCAGAACCAGATCGTCGTCTGGCGCTACTCGAGCATGGCCAAGGTCGCTACGCTGAGCGGCCACACCATGCGCGCGCCTCTCTCGGCGCCCGCTCGGCACACAGCTCAACGAGGCCCGGCCCTTGACGCGCGTGGGCTGCGAGCAGGCGTGTGCTCTACCTCGCTCTCTCTCCCGACGGGCAGACAGTCGTCTCTGGCGCCGGCGGCGACACGCGCGCTGCTGCGTGTGAAGGCGTCCCCTCTTCACGGCGCGAGCGCGTGAACAGGCGCCGGCGACGAGACGCTTCGCTTCTGGAATGTCTTCCCGCAGGCGGCCGGGATGCGGCCGAGATGCGGCCGAGATGCAGCTGAGATCGAGCCGAGAGGCGCAAGAGATGCGGCCGAGAGGCGCTGGGCCGAGAGGTGCTGGTCTGTCGCCCGTCTGCAGGCGCGCCGCACGACGGGCGACGAGGCGGCGCCTTTCTCGCGCGCGTACACGGTCAGATGAGGCGCAGCTGGGGCTTGGTGCGCGCGCACGTGCCCACGGCGGCTCCTGACTCCTTGGCGCCAGTCAGGGCAGCGCTGCAGCCGGCGGCGCGAGGCGGCGGCGCAAGAACGCGGCGGGCCGCGCCGCCCGGAGGCTGCGGAGAGGGAGGAGGAGAGAGGTACGGGCGCTCGCATTTGGCGGCCATCTGCCGGGCAATTGTAGGAGGAGTATTCCCCAGACACGTGTCGTACAGTCGGGGGCACGCGGTCGCTGGGCGCTGCGCGAGGCCGCGGAGCTCAACGCTGCGCGCCAGGCCGCCAGCGCGTGGTATTGGGAAAGAAGGAAAATAACAGAAAAAAGGAAGTAGCTCTTCTTTTGTTTTTCCAGTTAGCGCGCCATAAAATAAAACGGACACCACGAGGGGTGTGCGTTCCGGGTGCACACCACAAGCCAGGGAAGGGGCACCCGGAACGCACAGTCAAATCGTTCGCCTTTCAGGAGGCGGAGAGTATCAGCCGAAGGGCGAAGGTGCGTTGGGCCGCGCGCAACGGCCACGCAGTGCTGTCGTTGCAGCACGACGGTATAGTCGTAGCGGTCAAGAGAGGGAGTGACGCCGGCGACGTGGCGGAACAGATGGCGAGGGCGAGTGAGGAGGCGCTCGGATACCGGCAGCCGTGCGAGCTAAAAGAGCAAGAGCCGCCGAGCGGAGTAGCGAGACCGCAACTGGCGACACGCGATGAGGTGGGAGGGGTAGTGCCGGGGCTAGGAGAGATGGAGGGCTCGCCCCCGAGGCACGGCGCGTGGGTAAGAGACGCCGAACTCCAGGAGGATCCGCTTACGCGCTTCCTACTGCGGTGGGACGAGTTTGAGGTCGGGACACGGGCGCTGTCCGACAGAAACGGGACGCAGATTATGATGGGCAAGGATAAAGAGCCGCTCGGCTCGGAGAAGGGCCGTGAGCTCAACGCGGAGGTTGCCAGGATATGCCTCGCGCTGCACAGAGCGCGGCCATTCACGCACCTCGCTGCGACGGATGGAGGGAGAGACATGCCAAACAAGTGGGTGGGGGATAGGTTCGTGCCGCGACCAGTTGTGTCGTATGGGGTGTACGAAGGACCGGCCCGATTCGGGAGACCCGTCGAGGGATCTGGACAGCTCGAAGGCGGGGACGATGAGCTGCGGCTCGCGTTTGGGCAGGGGCTGTGGGGCGGCAAACTGCCAGACGACTGGCAGGTGATAGACGCGGAAATGTACGCGGTGCTGGCTTACCTGCGTAAGATGGCAACGGCGGAGGATGCGGCGGACAGGAGGTGCCTCGTCTTGAGCGACTGCAAGCCCGCGCTACAGCAGATCGAGGCGGCGTACCGAAAAGGCTCTCTCGAGGGGCCGCTCAGGGAATGGGGATATGCAGATATCGCGCCCAGCTCGAATCTGTCACGTTCCTGTGGGTACCGAGCCACGCGGGGTGCGCTAGCAACGCCTACGCCGACGCCGCGGCGACTGCAAACATGGGGGCCAGCGAGATTGAGGATGCCACCGCCGTCATCCGTGAAGCAGTGAGGACACGCCCGTGCCTGTACACGGACCGCCGGAGGACGGCGGACAGAGAGTGGGGGCGGGAGGTACTGGACCGGAGGACCTATTACGCCACACGCGGCCACACGAACGAGTGGGTGCGAGGACGGCTCGGCGAGGGGCTCACGGCGGGGTCGCACACGGCAGGGGTGACGGGGCCGCTGTGGAGCGATGTGGTCAGGGGAACAACGAGACACAAATGGGACAAGCGCCAGCGGATCAAGGATCAGCACGGCGAGCGCGAGATTGAATCGACGTGGATGATCACAACGTGGTGACAAAGACCGTCATGGGAGCGCGGGTGCGGCAGCAGGCGGGGGTGCCACACGGAGCGCACCACGAGAGGATCATGCGGGGAGAGGCGGGGAGAGATACCCCGGGAGCCGCCACAAGGAGCGAACTCAGGGGCTGCCTCGTCTGTAAGGCCGCGAGGGACGCGGCGAGGAGGGCGGCACTAAAGCGAGACCCGCTGTGTCCGAACGTGCGGAAAGCCGCGCAGCAATGGACCGAGGAAGATGAGAACCCGCCTAGGGCGACAATGGCGCACTTGCTTAGCGGCGCCTGCCTGGGGAATAGGGAGCAGGCCAGATGGTTCCTCAGAGTAGCGCGAGCGCAGACGGGGACGGCGATCAGCAAAGTAGCACAGGCGGCACCCGACTCCAAGGATACACTGAAGACGCTGAGGATAGCGCATGTCGCTGCGCTGAAGGGCTCACGCTATAGGGTGCTGGATGAGGACGGGTACGAGGCACTAGCCCCAGCCGTCGGGGGGGTGTTGCCGGCGCTGGTAGATGATCTCTCGGAGAAGAGCCGGAGGGACCTTGGCGCCGGGGTCACGAGGAACTTGCAAGTCGTGGCCGAGGCGGCGACGGGAGCGGTGCAGAGGTGGATCCAGCTCAACGATGAGGCTACCGCGCGCATAATGAAGAGAGAGGAACACATTGAGTGGCTGAGGAAGCTCTTCGCTGGGTGGAAGGAGGCCCGGCCAGCCTTGAGGGAGTCGCGGAGGAGGAGGGATAACAGAGGTAACGTGGGGACGGGCCAACAGCCAGTGGGACGAACGAGGGCCGCGCGCGACGGCGGCTCAAGCGGGAGGGAGCGGAGACAGTGGGCAGCGAGCGAAGTGGGTGAGACTGATGATGCTCCTTCGACTTAGGGAGCGGTTCAGCTGCTGGGCGGGCTTCAGGGTGGTGCTCACGCGAAAAGGAATCGACGCGAGGATGTACAAAGCATACAACAAGAGGAGAAAGAAGAGGACGGACATCAGTGATGACGAAACAGAAGCTAGCGCAGACGAGAGCAGGGCAGACCCGGGGACTGGGGAGCCGGAGCAGACGGCATCGGCCGCCGAGGGAACGTTGGGAAGAGGCACGAGGAGGGCGGCGACCTCAACGTACCGACTATGGAGGACCCGTCACCAGACGACGCAGGGCGGACGACGGGGAGGCGGAGGCGCAGGGCGAGACGAGGGAGGGAGCAGGATGTTGCGGAGATCAGCAGGAGGATGTACGACGAGATTAGGAGCAGCAGGGACCCGAGGGACCATGTGGAAGACGGCTAGTGCTAGTCCCCCACCGGGAGGACGACCCCGGCTAGTCGCCGACCACACCCACAAAGAACCCTGCACAAAGATCGCAGGGCGGGGACCTGTTCCTTTTTACCCATCTCCTAGTAGAGGTGTCCGTTTTATTTATTTACGAGGGGTGGGAGAAGCAGAAGGGGACAGGGTCCCCACCTGCACGAGCAGGATCTTGTTCAAGGACGATCAGGGACACCTGGGAACCTTGAGTAGGGAGCGCATCGCGAAAAAAGAAAGAAATTTAACCTCACTACCCAAAGGAAGGAATCATTGACGGCACGCGAGTTAGGACTCGCGCGGATTCCTTTTTTCAGGATCTGCCATCATCCCAATGAACGCCGGAGGCCGCCGCAAATCGAGTCTGCTCTGTAATGTCCTGCGGCGACGAGGCGGCGTGGCAGGATCAAAGCATCGTCTGCGGCGACTGCAAGGTCCTGATTGACCGGTCCGTCAACTTATACAGCACGTGCGCCGTGTACTGTGCGTCGATAGGCCGAGTCTGCACGCAGGGATACCAAAACACCGACGGATGCAGCGTTCCCGATAACATCACGTCACCGATAACCTGTAGCACGTGGATCCAGTCTAGCAACGCGATCTGCGAGTGCGGAGCGCCCGGTCTGTGCGACATCTGCCCCGAGTCGACGTACAAGAGCGACACCATTGCCGGCTACGGCTGCTGTAAGCGCGACGGTGAGACATTTGCCTGCGACAACACTGCAGACTGGATCGGCGACACAAACTACCCTGAAACGGGCCTGCCCGTGGGGGTGAACAAGACCGAGTGCGTGTTTCATCCCGACAAGTACCTTTGGGTCCCGTACACGTGCAAGGACGCGCACGCATACTGGACGGCAGGCGCAAACCGCGGCACGTATATCGATTACTCGTGCCCCATAGCGGTTGCGTTCTGGGAGACGGGCGGAGACCCGGGCGGGTGCTGCCTGCCGGCCCCACCAAGCTCTCCGCCGCTGCCGCCAAGCCCGCCAAGCCCGCCGCCCTCCGCCCCGCCTCCGGGCATTCCCGTGGCGGCCATTGTCGTGCCGGCCGTCGTCGGCGTCGCAGCCCTCGCCGCTCTCCTTTCCTACTTCGTCAAGCTTCGCCGCCCGCGGGCTGCGCTCCGAGGCCGAGCCGGCAGCCCGCGCCCTCGCCAGAGCATCGACACGAGCAGCGAGTACACCGATAAGGCGCTGCAGGCTTCGCCAGGCACGACCGGCCTTCCTGTTGACGCCCCCTCCGCCTCCGCCGCCTCCGCCGCCTCCGCCGCCCCCCACGCCGAGATATCGGCCAGCGAGGTGTCCGCACCCGCCCTGCCGCTGCATATCGTCGCTGGATCTCGGCTGGATCTGAGCAGATGACCCTGCCCGCAGGTGACCCTCGTCCGGCTGATTGGCCAGGGAGGCCAGGCGGCAGTCTACTCTGGCCGGTGGCTCGGCGTGCCGGTGGCGGTCAAGGTGACGCGACACTTGCGCAAGAACCACTCGCTGCGCAAAGAGGCGAGCTTCCTCTCGCGGCTCCGCCACCCGTCGGTCTGCGCCCTCTACGGCCACACTCTGATGCCTGACGGCTCGAGCGCGCTGCTCCTCGAGCTCCTGCCGTCCACTCTCACCGCTCTGCTCGAGCAGCCGCAGCCACTCCCCGCCTGCCTCGCCGGCCGCATCGCCAGCGAGGTTGCGGCCGGCATCGCCTTCCTCCACCGCAACAACGTCATGCACCGCGACATCAAGCCCTCCAACGTGCTCCTCGACGGGTCGGCGCACGCCAAGGTGGCCGACTTTGGCATCGCGGCGCTCATCGACAAGACCTCTTCGCGGGCCTCGCCCTCCTCCTCCGCCTCCACCGCCACCGCCTCCTCGGCCTCGCCTCCCTCGTCAGGCCACACGGCCGGCATCGGAACCCGATACTTCATGGCCACCGCACCCTCGCCCCCCTCCACCCCCGCCGAGCGCCTCTTCACACCTGCGGCTCCTCTTAGCAGGCGCCCGAGGTGCGCTCCTCCTCCTCGCTGGTCCAGCGGTCCGCCTACAACGAGCAGTGCGACGTCTACTCGTACGGGATGCTGCTCTGGTCCCTCATGCACCAGAGGCGACGCGCATAGCCGAGAGGCACTGCTGAGGTCGGACGTCCCCCGGCTTCTGCTGCCGTCAGAGAGCGACCTCCGCTCCTCTTCCCTGCCAGGCACCCTCGCGACGTGGACGAGTACGAGGCGGGCAGCAGCCTCCATGACCTCCGCCCCGCCACCAGCCTTCTCCCGGACCGCGCGGCATTCGCGGACCTCATCCGGAGCTGCTTGCAGCTGCAGCCCGCGAGCAGGCGAGCTCAAGCCTCCATCGCGCCGCGGCCCTCTCTCCGAACCCTTGTGTGCCTTTTCCCTCTCTCAGCCCCCTCGCACGCCGCTGCCTCGCGCGTCAGGCCTCTGATGGCGGACGTCGCGGCGGACGCGCGGCGCCTGGCGGCGTCCGTCAACGCCCTCGGCTCTGCGGCAGCGAACGCGGTCTTCATCTGCCCCGCGGCGGCACCGGAGGAGGAGGCGATGAGAGAGGGCGCCCGCGAGACGGGGGCGGGCGAAGCGCCTCGGCTCAGACGTCGCGTTCGATGTGCGAGTAGGCGGAGGGCGGAAGGGCGAGCGAGAGCGTCGAGCTCACCTACTACTGGAGCGACCTGCCGCCGGAAGAGGGCAGGGCGAAGTGAATGCAAACGCCCACGCCTCCGCAGCGTGAAAGCGGAGAGAGGGGCGGCGACGGGGCTCTCTCCGCCCCCGCCACCCCGCGCCCGCCCCCGCGCCGACCAAATTTGTACCGTTTTTCGCGCTTTGACTTTGCCTCGCGCCAGGTCTAGACACCCGTCTGCAAGTGTGGCAAGGACATGCTCCGCGCTCCGTGACCATGTAAATCGAGATCTGTATGCATCGCATGTTTTCTCTGTCTGTAACTGTCTTTTATCTGTGAGATACAGATAGGAGTGTCGTTTGGTCTATAATTACACCTCATTTTGATGTATGACATTACTTGGGGAAGCCACACTCTCTAACTCTATATCAACATAAACATATAGAGGCTCCCACCGCAGCGTGGACCCGTTGGCTTTGGATTGCGCTCGCCCCGGCCGTCGGGCAGCTAGCCGGAGAGCGGCCGCTCCACGCTGCACGATCGAACTTTATGTATATGTGGCTATGTCCTATGAGATATCACCACGGCCTTGAATCGGGGAGAAGGGTGATCATAAGGGTCGAAGTGGTGATCGGGGTGATCTTGTTGTCGAGATGTCGAGGTTGAGTGTTTCGAGAATTCATGAAAGTTGCCATTTCCCCCTCGATCGATCGATCCGCGCTCCGGCCGGACCTACCTACCCACTCGCTTGCTTTTTTTTGCTCCAGTCCTGCGGATCTTCATAGTAGACCGCAGGGCTACGAAGCCTTCACACTCCAAGGGGCTGCTACCTACCTCTTAGTTAGCTCTCCTGAAAGTTGCCATTTCCCCCTCGATCGATCGATCCGCGCTCCGGCCACCTACCTACCCACTCGCTTGCTTTTTTTCGCTCCAGTCCTGCGGATCTTCATAGTAGACGGCAGGGCTACGAAGCCTTCACACTCCAAGGGGCTGCTACCTACCTCTTAGTTAGCTCTCCACGGCGGCGTTCGGTCGGTTTTCGGTACTAGTTTAGGCACGTTTGCCACAGAACGTGTTGTTGGCGGGCATTTAGCTAGAAGCGGCAGCGTTGTGGCGGAAACCAGTAAAACCACATAGCAAGTTTCAAAGTTCCGCGGAACGACGTCCTCTCTAGCTCTACTTCCAAAAGTTGTTGGTACTTGTTGGAGGTGGTGTGATGGCCGCCAAGCTCCTGTCGCTCCTCGCGTTGAGAGGAGGCATCTTCTCGCGGGACCAATCGATCGAGCCCGTGTGCAGAGATCGGTTGGCAGAGGCGACGTGTGCGAAGGACCTTGCAGCCGCAGTCCCGAACGCTGTCAATGGCTCCGCTTCTGTTGCCTCCTCGCAGGCGCTGGTCGATGCGTGGGAACTCGTGATGTCTACCTCGCAGGCAGATATTGCGGTGATCTCTGGGAACGATGTTGCGGTGGGGCGTTACCTCCCTTGCGCCTCCTCGCAGGGATCGTCAGCCACGCTCGACGCCGTTGCTTTGGCGTTGGCGCAGAGGATGAGCAGCCTGAGTCCACGGGCGGTCTGCAACACGGTCGAAACGTTTGCGGCGGTCGCCCATGCGCCACTGGAGCTAATGGACGCCGTCATGGCAACGGTGGAGGAACGGGTCGACGAGTTTGAGCCGCGGGACCTTATTTCTGTGGTCAAGTCGCTTGGCGTGGTGCAACATTCCATCGACTGACTCCCTCACTTTCACCGACCCACTCACGCTGCCGCTACCACGCAGATGCGCCATCCGGTGTCTGAGTCGTTCCTGGACTCCGTTGCGGCCGCCATCTCGCCGCGATCCGGTCAGATCGATGTCGAAACGCTCGTTGAGGCGGCGCTCGGTTTTGCGACCGCCGGACATCCCGTGCCTGCTCTGTTCCGCGCCGTGGCGGAGGAAGCGGCGCCGCAGCTTCACGAGCTGGGCAGGTTGGCCACCCGTTTCCCACCTCATTCTCACACGCCACAATCACCCCACCTTATATCGGCAGGCGGGCGCTCGTGAACATGGCGTGGTCCTTCGCCGTGGCGGACCACCTCCCCACAAATGGGCTGTTTGGAAGCAGCTTCGCGGCGGTGCGCGGCGTTGTACATGCTGCGTGGATAGTCACCGCATTGCCCTGCTCATCTTCGTAGCATTTGAAAGTGCGATGCTCATCTTCATAGCATTCAGAAGTCCTGCCGCCATTCTTCGCTGCAGGTGCTCAACGCGGCAGAGAACGAGCTAACTCATGTCGAGATACAGCGCGGAAGAGCTGTTTCGGCTGGAGCTACCCTTGAGCCCTCTCTGGATTTCCCTACAGGACGAATGCCACCTGCTGCATCAGTGGCGCACGTGGGTCTCGGACGAGCGCGGCGTGATGGAGGCCCTTCCCCGGTGAGGCATCTCCCGTTCGGCCCCAGTTCAACCGAACGCATGCGGCCACGACGCCTCAGAGTCCTTGACCTCTCCCCCTCCACTGCCTACCGTGCCGCCCGCCCGCCAGGCCTACCGTATGCCCCGACCCTGCCGAGTGTGTCGGTCCCAAGAGCGTGATCGCCGGGTGCCACACAAGCAAGTTCGGAGAGCTGCCGCGCTTGCAACAGCAAATCGGCGTGGCGCTCGAGCTGCTCGAGGCGGACCCGATGCAGGACGAGGTGGACGGCGAGACGAGGCACGCCCTCGACTGGGTAGCAGAGTGGAGGGGAGAGCAGGCAACGCGACGAGCCGAGATGAGCCGAGATTGGGCCATATATCCTTGTTTGGATGCGCAAGGCTGCCTTCCCGCGCAGGTCGTGGTAGAGGGCGATGGGCCGGGACGGCTGTGCGGCCGCCGCCCGTCGGGCGCCACGCGACTCAAGCACCGGCAGCTGCGCCTGCTGGGTACGACCCTCGTGTCCGTGCCGCAATGGCGATGGGACGAACTGCCAGGGGAGGAGGCGCGGGTGTCCTACCTGCGCGACACGCTCGACCGCGCCGTTGCGTCGTGAACAGAAGGCGTCACGCACAGGGTTGTCCCGCCTGCGCCTCGCCTCGTCGAGTGTCGAGAGACGAGAGTCGAGAGAGATATCGAAGTTCGAGTACTGGAGAGAGATGAGAGCTGCAGCCGCTGGTCGAGGTGGTGCAGGTGCGGCGTGCCAAGGAACGAGGCTTCGTCCAGCACGATCATGATGAGGCGGTGCGCGTCGCCCACGATTGCGTTGAACGTCCGCTGCGCTCGGTCAGAAGCCGCCGGCAGATCCTCGAGCGTCGAGCCCGCGTCGCCAGGGATGCCGGTGAGCTTGCAGTACGTGGCAGCGGGCAGCGGCAGCGCCGTCACCGCGACGCCGGTGTACGCCGAGAAGATGGCGCAGCCCAGGTCCTCCTCGTCCATTAGCTGCAGCAGCGCGCGTAGGAGCAAGCTCTTGCCGGTGCCTGGCGCGCCCACGAGCAGGTAGTGCATCCGGTGCACAAGCGCCACCGCCTCTGAGTACTCCTTGCGTGTGCGGCTCGCATCTCCATCACGCTGAGCGGCGCCCATCCGACGGAGGACGGGCAGGAGCCTGCGGCCGGCGGCGCGCTGCCGCTGATTCAGCGGCGGGAGTGGAACGTCCTCGCCGCGCTTGAAGCGCTCACCGAACTCGTCGCGCCACCGCCTGCTGAGTGTCGGCGGCAGAGAGCGTGCCGTTGGCCTGCAGCGGCCACGAGCGGATGTGCCTCGTTCCGTCGTCTCGCGTGCTCTCCTGGTAGCGCAGGAGCGGGCAGATGGCGCGGAAGATGCGCATCAAGTTGAGCCCGTTGCCGTTGAACTCGGAGAGCGGCTCGTCCGAACGCGCGGCACGCCGCACGTGGACATCGCCGGCGCTCTCGTTCCTCGCGGCTGCGTCAGCTTGCGACGCCGCCGAGGCTGCGTCAGCTGCATCCGCATCAGCTGCGCCGTCTGCAGCTGCATCAGCTGCACCCTCGGCGGCGTCGGCGGATGGGTCGAGATGATCGGAGCCGCCACGCGACGTCAGCCCTGCGGTGAAGGCGTTGAGACGGGAGAGCGCCGAGTCAGGCAGCGTGTCGGAGGATGACAGCAGCACGACGCGAGAGAAGGCGTCCGCTTCCTCCGGGTTGGCCACCTGCGCCACGTCATCGGCACTTGCCTGGGCGGTGGCCTCGACGGCTTGCGCAAGCCCGGTGGTTGTGTGGCGCGCATCGGCGACCAGTCCCGCACCAATGTCACCGAGCTCGCTCCGCACCGCGTCGAATGAAGGCGCGTCCGTCACCTTGGGGTTGCCCATCGCCCTGTCGATGGCAGCGTACAGCGCCAAGTAATTGTGGCACCGATGCGGGCAAACCTGGATGTCGTTGCGCTTGAGCAGCCACTGGGCGAGCTTGTCGTGCTTATCGTCCGCGCCCACGAACAGCACGCGGTAGTCGGCGCCCCGCAGCCACGCCGCCTCGCGGAGCGTGGCCGCCGCTTCCTTTGGCCCGTCGTGCGGGAAGTAGATTGTATCTCCCTTGATCGAGGCGTCGCGCAAGATCTCGAGCGATCCGAGCTTGATCGACACCTGAAGCGATGCACACCATGACACTCGACTCACTACGACGCGTCGTGAAAGATCTCAATAGCATCTCAAAATCTCGGCGGCATCTCGGCGAGGGTGGCGGCGGCGAAGGCGGTGGTGGCGAAGGAGGCGGCGGCGACGGCGGCGGAGGCGAGGGCGGCGGCG